ACCCATACAATGTATTGTTGGCTATTGCTACAAATATACCCCAGCGACTTAAGACTGCTTTTGTGCTGCAGGGTCACACACATATATATATATATATATATAAACAATATATATATATATATATATATATATATATTGTTTGTATTTTATATTTTCATTTATTTTGAATATCAATGGTACCCATTAGTACACAGAAAGCAACTCAGTAGGCTATTATCTAAATTCTTTGTTTATTTAAGGTAGGGCTGGACAATAATTCAATATCAATATGTATCGCGATATAATTTTTTTCAATAACGGTGATATGATTTTTAAACACATTTCCGATATTTCGATATACATTACCAGTGTTTCCCATGCATTGATTTATTTGTGGCTTTTGACTTCGTTGAATAAACATGAGCGCTGCACATTTCAAAATCAAAACAAGTCGAAGGTGTTTTATATGAATGTATCTCTGGAGGGAAATTACTGTCTTCAGAAAGTTTCGATGGCATCTTCATTTGATCTGATAAAGAAGCGTTCATGAGCGGAGCTGATGTGATTACAGTCGTTACCGGGGAAACCGCTAGTTCTTCCGCTCTCAAGGCGCCTCCTGCTGGCAGACAATCAGTTTGCATTTTCAATAAGCCAGTCTCCAGCAACATGTTTTTGTTGTTGCTCTCTCTTTTTTTTCTGCAGCAACTCAGAGCACTTTTCATACTCTTTCTACTGGCTAAAGCACATTTATTTCAATCTTTAAGAATAATCAGCCTACACTACCAGTCAAATGTTTCTGAACAGTAAGATTTTTAATGTTAAGCTGAATTTTCAGCATCATTACTCCAGTCTTCAGTCTCACATGATCCCGAAATAATTTTAATATGCCGATTTGCTGATTATCAATATTTAAAACAGTTGAGTAAAAAAAATTTGTAGGATTCTTCGATGAATAGAAAGATCCAAAGATCAGCATTTATCTGAAATAAAAAGCTTTTGTAACACTATTCCATTCAAAAGCTTAGTATTTCTCAGTAGCCAGTCAGTAGTATGATTTCTTTCTTCTTCTTTTTTTTGAAAGAAATGATAGAAATTAATACTTTTATTTAGCAAGGATGCTTTAAATTGATCAAAAGTGGTGATAAAGACATTTATAATGTTACAAAAGATTTCTATTTCAGATAAATTCTTTCTATTCATCAAAAAAACTACAAAAATTTAATATAAAAAAATTATACTCAGCTGTTTTCAACATAATAATAAATTATTTTTGAGCAGCAAATCAGCATATTAGAATGATTTATGAAGGATCATGTGACTGGAGTAATGATGCTAAAATATAGCTTTGAATTCACAGGAATAAATTACATTTTAAAATATTTTTCCAATAGAAAAGTTATTTTAAATAGTAAGAATATTTCAAAATGTTACTGTTTTTGCTGTATTTTGGATCAAATAAATGCAGGCTTGGTGAGCAGAAGAGAATTCTTTAAAAACATTAAAAACCTTACTGCTAAAAAACTTTTGACTGGTAGTGTTAGTGTTTGAAGTTAAAGACATTAATATTAATTAGGTGAGTCTGAGAAGGCTAAATACAAATAAAAGGTGAACATTAATTTATTTGTGCTGTTTTTCTTCTTCTTCTAAAATATTATATGGTTTTTATATGAGGTGTCAAAGACTTGTCAAATTCATTTTTCATAAGTTTGTATGCACAGTTGTGGGCGTTCTTGGCAGTTTTTACGAGGCTTTTTTTAATATTGTTCATATCGATATCGGAATTATATCGTATCGACCGAAATTAAGAAATATATCGTGACATAAATTTTGGACATATCGTCCAGCCCTAATTTAAGGACAGGAAAATGATGCGAAGAAAGAACTCTCTCTTGCAGGATAACAGCTGGCTCTTTGTGCCGAATCGAAGTGGTTACTCATGAATATTAATAAAGCCTCACACGACGTTGCATTGTAACCTTCCTTGAGCACCCAGTCTTCTTAAGTACTTAATATTCATGAGCCAAGCCTTCAACTTAGCAATGTCTGTCTTTCAGCAAATCAGTTTGCCGAGCGTCACGGAACGTTATTAATATTCATGAGTCAGGTCGTCGCCATAGTAGGATTTGTAAATGGTTTTCTCACATGATCCGAGTTGTCTGGAGTCAGTGTGTGAGTGGGAGAGCGTCGTGCGGACAGGACGGAGGAGATGGCCGAACGACGCTGGACCACGAGTCTGTCGGCTTTGATTGGCATCCTAGCGACACTGACGAGCTGCGACACTGTTCCGTGGCAGCACGAAAAGGTATCAGCCTTTAGAGTGCTGATGCTTTGTTTTGCATCATTTTAAGCCGTTCCCTTTTAAACGAACTGGCATAGAGTATCAGCTTCTGAGTAATGTGGTTTTGGTGAAAATATGAATTCATCATATTTTACTATGCTTCTCATGAAAGGAGAGTGTTTCTGCCTTTAAATGTCTTAAGAATTGAATAGGGATTTTTAATGCATAACATAATACAAATATAATCATTTGAATTCTTTATTTATTCATGCGTTCATTCATTTATTTGTTATATGTCCTCTTTTTATTTCAAATTTCTAATTTGAAATTTGATTAGTCATCACTTAAACTGACTGAGGGAAGTATGGCTTCGTTTGCTTCATGGCTTTTCAAGCATGATCTGGTCACTTACATCTTTAGAATTCTATTCATGTTGCTCAGTTTGTCTCCCATTGTTGCTATGGGAACAGGATCCCCATGACTGATCCAGCAGTATAGGAGATCTTAATATTTATAGATTTTCTATCTTTAGAATGAATTCCCTTTGTTTTGTAATGAAGGTCTGCATTTTGGGGAAATGACTTGTCCATGTTTAGATTTTTAGTGAGTTATCAGAAAACTGAAAAGGAAAAGTTACACTGTGGAATTTTTTTTTTAACAGACTGTAGATTATTAAATGTATACACAGCAATCTTTTAAGTCACATTGTGGAATAGAATCTTTTAGCATTTTATTTTTCACCACCATGTTTACTTTGGAGTGTTGTCTTTACAACAACAAAAACTTTTTTTCTGATCAAGTTACTATAATGTATAAAACCATAATGTAATCTTATCTGCCAGATGGCTTCTCTTCTGTGTTGTTCACATCAAGCTACAGTCATTAAGTGCAGAATCAATAATCACAGCACAAGAAGAATTGGACTTTGAGACCAAACAAACAAAAAACCAAATTGTCTTCAGAAGATCAATATCATGTTTAAAGCAGAAGTAGTTTGATTAGCTGTCTTCTATCCATCTTAAAATTGTTATTCATGAAAGAAAATATAATCAAAAGCTTTTCAGACTTTAGAGATATCCTCTATGAATGTTTCCCTCTCTTTAATGTCATTTCAGAAACTTCTGTTGCCATGTAGTTCAAACACATAATTATCCTCTAGACATATGCAGTGTATAATTTCTCATTCAGACAAGAACTTACTAGTTTGGTTGCAACATTACCATTAAAGGGGTCCTATTATGCGTTTTCACGTTTTCAACTTTAGTTAGTCTGTAATGTTGCTGTTTGAGCATAAAAAAGATCTGCAAAGTTACAAAGCTCAAAGTCCACTTCAAAAGGAGATATTTTATTTAACAGAAATCACTTTTCAAAAACTACAACGAACGACTCGTTTGGACTACAACGCATATTTTCCGGGATTTGTGATATCACAAATATCGACGAATGGAATGAGACCTGGTTGAGCTGCACTAGAGAAGGCAACGAGTGTTATCACTATGTCGGAGACACGCTGGCTTTCCCAAGCCAGACAAACTTAGAGTGGTTACAATCATCCGGGTTTAAATCGCGCTCAAATTGATTTGATATTGACGCAATATTTACACTGAAACTCACAGGCGGCTATGATAAGGGGCGTGACATTTCCCGACCAGGCGCCGAGTGCTGCCAATCACAACACACACTGGCCCAGCTAACCAATCACAGCACATTTCGTATTTCAGAAGGCGGGCCTTCATTTGATACAGGAACTATTCGAGCCGTTCATGTCAGACTGGGGAGAGAGGTGTTGTAATAATGTAAAATATGTGAAAAATAATGTGTTTTTTGAACAACCTAGTATGAGAACCTGTTCTAGTACACCCCCAAAACAAAATCAAGACTTTGTAAAAGAGCATAATAGAACCCCTTTAAGCAAGAGTATAATCATCATGTTTAGCTGACTGTAATATGAGTCACTGAATTAGAATTGCATGTATTTTTTTTTTTCAACTTTGTAAATGGAGTAAGAGTAGACTTTTGGATATGATTCATTATGAGTGAAGAACATCACAAATCAATTTAATTGAAGACTTCTCAGCCATCTTAAAGGGGTAGTCAGCCCAAAAATGTAAATGCCCTCATTACTTAACATATCTGCCATCCCAGTTGTATATGATGTTAATGTAAAATTTGATTGGCACTTTTCACTGTTTATATCACTTCAGTCTGTGAATTAGTAGTGGGGACTTTTTAGCCATTAGGTGTTGGGAATTGAATATGTGAATGAGTCATTGAATGATATACTCAGCCGATTTGTTCAGAACACTAATTCCTCAGGGACGCAATGGTTTATTCTGGTCTGGAACTATTATAACAAAACAGAAATACACAGGTCTTTTGTGTATTGTACTTACCTTTATGTTTACTGAAGTGTTATATTGAAGCAATATCAAGCTTACAATCATGCACACAATTATAACTGTAATTACTTGCAGACAAATCAGAGCTGTGCGGAAATTTGGAACAACAGTAGATAAGTTTACATGCACTCATTTTTGTCAATCCGAATGAATGCAATTCAGTTTCAGATTCAGAAATTTATATTTACATGAACCCTAAACTTTGCAATCCGATTCACATTTTAATTTATATGTGCATTTCTGTATTCTGAACAAAACTTGAACACATGCGTAGTGCCCCAGTCACTGCGTTCAGAACCGCGATAATCGTACAGTTGTCATTTTTGCCTTAATTACATACTTTTAAGAAAACATCAGAAATACGTCAGAAAAGTTTTTTCTTCCATATATTCAGTAAATATTCAGCCTCGTCCGCTGACAAGTTTGTAAGACATAAATAAACCAATGCATTTTCATAAGATCTTATTATAAAAAGGCTCTGCTAAACATGCATCGAGGCATTGTGCATGTGGGCAAGGTATATTTGAATATGGCTGAGAAGTGAGAAGATTCTCACGATTGATCCATCAATCTGATTAATAACAGCAATCAAAGAGACTAACAATTACTTAGTAGTAAAAGACGATTATAGAATACAGTAAATGCACACAAACATATGCAAAAGCAGTGTTGTAGTTGAGACCAGCTCAGTTGCGATACCAGAAGAAGGTTGAGTCCTAGTTAAGACATGTGGACCATGGCCCCAGGAGCATGTTAACATGTGACCCAAAGTTATGAGTACCCCACTGTGGAATAAATGAATGAATAAAGATTTTTATTCATTTTCACTTCAGCTGAAACATGAAGCAACCACACTGAGCTCCAGTGAACTGAGTAGTGTGGTATCTCGTACCGATCTGGACCGGATGTGGCAGAAGGACCTGAACCCCATGCTTGTTGTGCGCTATCCTGGTTCAACTGGAAGCCAAC